TTTTTTTTTTTTTTTTTTTTTTTTTTTTTTTTTTTTTTTTTGGCCGTGCCACGCGGCGTGCAGGATCTTAGTTCCCTGACCAGGGATCGAACCCCTGCCCCCTGCAGTGGAAGCATGGAGTCTTAACCACTGGACCACCAGGGAAGTCCCTAGTCTCACTCCTCTTGCACTTTGGAGCCATTATTAAGTAAAGTAAGGGTCACTTGAACAAGCACTGAGACACCAAGATGGCTAAGTGACTACGGACAGGACACGCTGGACCAAGGGATCATTCACACCCTGGGCGGGACACAGCAGGACGGCGTGAGATTTCATCACGTTGCTCAGAACGGCGTGCAATTTAAAACGGATGAGTTGTTGATTTCTGGAATTTTCCACTTAATATTTTCAGACCGTGGTTGACCACAGGTAACTGAAACTGAAGAAGCAAAACCGCAAGTGAGGAGAGACTGCTGTAATGCTATGTCAGTTATTTCATACGCTACTGATCACTCTGCCAAAACCATACTCGCCATCCGCATATTTGTCAAGAGCAAATGGCTGTGACGAGATGACAGCCAAAATGTCTCACTTCGTTGGTAAAATACTTTCCTTATAGGGTTGCTCCGGTAGCGGGATGATAAAATAACTATGTGCTACGAGCCTGGCACTTAGTAGGCCCTTGGCCCCTGCTTTTCCCCTTTTGATTTAAGATGTGTGCCTTGAGTCTGGAGGAAAGGAGAAATGGTGTTACGATGGGCATCTGAAGCATTTCTAGAAGGCTGGCCTTCCTGAGTCCAGAAGGGTTTGAGATCTATTGATGTATGTGTCATATGGAGCTAGAGTGAAGTTCCAGTATCCTTTCCAAAATGTCTTAAGAACGGTGTGATTTGCTGTTCTTACTTTTATGACTCTCACTCTGCAATCAGCATTTCAGGATGCTTTATGTGCTATTTATAATTATGAGTTTGGATCGTTTCTATAAAATTTGTACACGTGTTGTGTGTTTTTGTCTTTTTTAGATTTAATTGTGGGTGCATTTGGAACAGGAAAAGTAGCTGTTTACAGGTATGTGGTTGGTGGTATGCAAATGCTCTTTTCTTTTATTGACATGTAACATTATATCAGTTTCAGGCATACAACATAATGATTGCACCACAATGTCTCGTTGATAACATCCATCACCACACATAGTTACAGTTTTTGTGTGTGTGATGAGCACTTTTAAGATCTACCCTCTTAGCAACTTTCAAATATACAACACATTGTTAACTCTAGGCACCATGCTATATATTTCATCCCCCAAACTTATGTATCTTATAAACAGAAGTCTATACTTTTGGCCACTTTCATCCATTTCCACCTCCATCTCATCCCCACCTCTGGCAACCACCAATCTGTTTTCTGTATCTATATGTTCATTTGTTGGTTTTGATTTTTGTTTCTAGATTCTACATGTAGGTGAGATCATATGGTATTGAGCTTTCTCTGTCTGACTTTTTTCACTTAGCGTAATGCTCTCAAGGAACTTCTGTGTTGTCATAAATGGCAAGATTTCCTTTTTATGGCTGAATGCCACACTTTCTTTATTCCTCCATCCGTGGACATGTTCTTCTAATTGTCTCACATGCATTTCTTTTTCGTTGTTAGTTTTGCTTTAAAGAGTAAATCCCAACTATTTATTTTGGAGAGCATTTAGATGCTCTTTGTAAAGTTTGGAGGAGTATTTGCTCTCAATATTTTCCACTTTCTTTCAGCCCTTCTGTCTTTTTTTTCCTCATACCTCATGACCAAACTTCCAGCTTCTACTAACATAACATTAAATAAGATGTGAATCTTAGCAGAACTTCTAAAATGACACACTTTTTAAAGTTATTACATTTGAATACTTCTCTTTGCTTTGAAAATGCATTAAAATGTGCCTATAGATAAGGAATGCAGGGTGGGGGAGTGTTGCTATGCACCCTGGCCTCTATCATCAAGTGTGGACACTAAATTAAGGAATAGAAATACCAAGAACTGGTAGCCTCCAAAAGCAAGAATTGAACAACTGTTCAAATGTGACAGGTCTGGAGTTTAAAAACCTGGCCACTCCACACACTCACCCATTTGTAATCTTGGGTGAGTTTCTATAACTTTCTGAGCCTCAGATTTTTTTCATCGTAAAATGGGCATAATATTTACATTACAAGTTTATTTTTGTTGAAAGGATTAAGTGAGAATCTGCATGTAAGGTACATGGAATAATAAGTAACTGGTAGACAGTGCTACCAGTTACTTACTAGATTCTTCTTTCTTCTTAAAAAAAAAATTTAGATTCTTTTTTATTCTTAAAAAAAAGTTTCATAGGAATGCAAGACACTAGGTCAGGATATCAAGACAAAAGGCAGAGGTCCAACCCAGGTGTTCTGGGCACATAGTTCGAACCTAGGTCAACTCCCTGAGGGACTCTAAAGTAGGTTTCCTCAAGTAGGCAAGACTGTCTTCTTCATCATTCCCAAGACATACTCAGAGGGCTGATTTATACCAGCCACTCTTCACTTCAGGGGGTAGAGAATCAGGTGATTGAAACTCTCAAAGTACCTGAAGGATGGGGCTGTGTTTGTGGTGGCCATGAAGATGCACCACACAGAGCTGATGGAGTGAAATTGACTCACGGTCCCTCCACTGTGCTCTGAGTCTACATTTGCAACAAGGCCCTATTTCCCATGAGCTGCTCCCAGCCGATTACTGGACACAACAGGGATACAGATACAGGCCCACCTGGAGCTCCACTAGCAGCAGATTTGGCTCAAGGGCTCCCCAGTGCCCTGGCTACAGCTTCTTTCCCAGATGCTCTTTCGTTTCCTTACTTCTTCACAGGAATCAGACGTGCATCACACTCTGACTGCTGGTCCCAGCCTCCTCCCGCCCTCGCCTTTTTCCCTCATCAGTATTTGCCCTAATAAGTGTCTTGTGTGTCTAATCCTGTCTTATCATCTGCTCTTCCAAGGGCTGGAGCTAACACAATATTGAAAAGAAAAATCACGTAACAGAGTACAGATAATAGCACAAACGAGTTCAGGAAAATTCCCGTTGGGCGCCATTACGGTAATCGTGGAATTGTTTAAACCAGTGCCCTAAACAATACGCTGCCCCAAGGCCCAGCCCTGTGTCTAATCCTGTCTTATCATCTGCTTTTCCAAGGGCTGCAGCTAACACAATACTGAAAAGAAAAATCACGTAACAGAGTACAGATAATAGCGCAAAGGAGTTCAGGAAAATTCCCGTTGGGCGCCATTACGGTAATCATGGAATTGTTTAAACCAGTGCCCTAAACAACACGCTGCCCCAAGGCCCAGCCCTCCCTCCTGTCGAAGGAAAACTTAAGCAACACGGCGTCGTTTCACACTATCATCTGGAGATTTCACTCCCATTTCTCATATCTTGGCACCAAGCTTTATAAATATTGCCCATTCCTTTTCCCAGTGACTTACTTTCTTGTCTGATTTATCCTCCCTGGGTGGTTGGAATGGAGTTTACTCGGTATTAGACCCTCTCCTCAAACTTGGCCGCACAATAGAATCACCTGGAGGTTGTTTTTTTTTTTTTTTTTGACATTCCAGTGCCTGGCCTTGACCCCGGGAGACTGGCTTCTGTTTTACAGCTCCTGGGGTGCTTCTGTTGTGCAGTCAGGGTTGAGAACCATTGCTCCACGTGAAGCACAGAATGAGTCAGCTCACCCTCATGGGTTTAGCTCAATCTGCAAAGCTTGTCTAGAAAATGATCAATCAGCGGTTAAAAATCACCAGCCAACATGGTAACAAAATTAGCAAAACTCGAGTACTTACAGATGCAACGTGAGTGACTGTAGGATGATGTATTTCCTCATATTCAGATGCGAATATGGACAGACTAGCAGATTCCTGAGGAGAAATCCTTCACAGCCATGTCGCCAAAATACTGTGAGCCCCTCCACAGACAGAGAAGGTCCGTGAATGCGGCTGTGCTTGATGGGCCCATGGCTCCTTTATTTGTATTCATGAGCTATCAGATGTGTTTGGAGGTCGTTGGTTGAGTCTGAAGCCCACCTGTTCACTCAGTGAGGGGAATTCTTGGCACCAGGGCCAGGAATGTTGGCCGTGGCCTCTAAAAGTGGAGTAGTGGGCTTCTGCCTGCCCCTCGTGGGGCTGGTTAAAACCGTGTGTCTTCTCCCTGCAGAGCGAGGCCGGTTGTGACGGTGGGAGCCCAGCTTCTCCTGCACCCGGTGATCATCAATCTGGAAAATAAAACCTGCCAGATTCCAGAATCGATGGCATCTGTGGCCTGGTGAGTCAGTGCGGTGCTTCCGGCCCTCTTAGGCGGACTCAGATCACCTGGCGATCTGGTGCACATGCAGCTTTGGGGGCCGCAGGCCTGGGATGGGGGCTGAGACTTTACATTTCTGAAGAGGCTCCAAGCGGGTGCTAATGCTGTGGGTCTGTGCACCAAATCTGGGTAGCCAGTTGTTAGTCTTTTAAAAGAAAAATAAAAGGATCTCTGACACGATGCTGATCTTTTGCTGTCATGGGAAGGCCATTTCTCCAATCTACAGCCTCTATGTGTGATGAGAAACAAAAACACTTGAGAAAATTCCCGACAAAGCAAATCTTGGAGATCTCTTTCAGAATCTTGGCGTACTAAAATACACATTAACCAAACTGAAAATATAATAAAATACCTTGATGCTTGTATTTGCATATGCATATGGAAACCACTTTTCAGTGGTTTTTTTGTTTTTTGTTTTACTTAAATAGGCTTGGGTTAAATTACTTGGTTTCCTGTGCTGAAAATAGATGTCAGTTTTATAACCTTACATCTGTATACAATGAGACAGAAGGTAAACATTATAAAAATAGAGATTTTTGTGTCCTCAACTATATTTCTGTGGCCATGATCTCATCGTCAGGAATAGTCCTCTGCCTGGCCTGTAGGCGGACAGGCTCATATACCTTCTGAGAATGTTCCTCATGAATCTGGCCGGTCACCCGAAGGCAGTAAGAAATGGAACTTGGCTGTAGCACAGCTCAAGAAAATGCCACTTTGCTTCTCAATATGTAGGTCCTCCAGGGTCAGAAGTCTGTCATATTGGCTAATGCCTTAGGGTATATTCTCTGAAAAATCAACAAACATTTGGAGCATTTGAGATTTACCTCCATTTTCAGATGATATGGTCGGTTCCTGAGAAAGTCAGAATGCAGAACACACCAGTCTATAGACCCACAGAAGCCAGTTTCAGTACGCTGCTCATGGCCTTGGACAGGGGTTCAGACCGGAGTCAAAGCCTTTGAGGGTGGTGGATGGGGGTGTAGAGGACCCTGAAGAATTCTTTGAAAAACATCCTTTGCTGGGACCTCTCGGTTCAGGGAGGCCTGTCTTCCCCTTAAGCAGCTTCTGAAAGTAGCTGGGAAATGCCCTGAGCACATTTTAAAATGGTATGAAACCATAAAATATTATAATGAAAACCTGATCTGAGAAAATATGTGAAAGAGCTAGCTAGCATCTCTCCTAACCCTGGATGAAATGAACATGAAATGAACAATGAGTGCTACTTGGGCACAAGTATTAAAACTTTGGTATTTCGCCCAACAGTCCTCTGTTTGCACATTCATCACTGAATGGACTTCTAGACTGAATTCTTTAAAGCACATGTGTGTGGCACACTCTGGTGTGAAATGTTGTTACAAACGAGATCATCTTTTCTCAGGATTTTTCAGTTTTTGAATTTTTTAAAAAATTTAAGTGTTTTTTTTTTTAACATATTGTGGGATCTGTTTGGTTTTATGGAAAGAATATTCCTTTTTATTTTTAAAAAATTTTTTATTTTTTAATTGTTTTTTTCATGGAAAGGCATTTTATTTTAAATATAGCAGATTGGGAGTTTGGGATCGACATGAATACTACTTTTTAACAAGAAAATTGCCTTCTTTTCACGAACTCTTGTTGCATTAAATCAGATTGCTTAGATAAAATACGATTTGTTACGTGGGCAAATTACAATTACAATTATTTATTTGATTCTATTGCATCCATTTCCTGAAAGATGTTTTATTTTCACATGCAAAAATTTTGAATGGGTAACTCAGAGTAGTAGAAGATGGAAAATTAACAGCGGGTTCCGTCTCGAATGTGTTTCTCGGACACTTTTTAAGATGTATTATAGGAATTTAGCTCATTTTTTTCAAAATGATTGAAAAGCATTTGTTGATTTTCTTTTCTGTGATTTTTGTCTGTATTTGATATAATCTTGTATTGTACATCTGAAAACTATTAAGTAAACCTCTAACTGGGAAATAGTTCTCCATTTCCCTCAATGTGAATTTCTCTGCCTTTCAAACAGCTGTGTAATTTTTTTTTTTTTTTTTTTTTTTTTTTTTTTTG